AAGTGATCTTTTCTAGTGGCTTGATTAAGCCTCCGGTAATCTATATGTATTCTCCATTATGTCACGGTTCTTGTCGGAATCAACTCATTCTTGTCATTAGTAATCACTGGCATTCCTCCTTTCTTGGGTACCACTTAAACTAGACTCACCCAAGCACGGTTTGAAATAGGATAAATCATGCCGACCTCCAATAATTTCACCACTTCCTTCCTCGCCACCTCTTTCATGATAGCATTCAAGCAACATTGTGGTTGAGCTACCAACTTGTAGCCCTCCTCCATCATGATCGTATGCATATAATAGGCTGGAGTGATTCCTTTCAAACCAGATAGAACCCAACCTATTTCTTTTTTATTTTTCTTCAAAAATTGAATCAAACCATGTTCTTCCTTGTCAGATAATGAACTACTGATAATAACAGGTTTGTTACCATCTTCTTCAAGGAACACATACTTTAAGTCTGAGGGTAGCATCTTCAATTCAAGTTGAGAATCATCTTTCTTTGGTTCATATTTCAATTCTTCAACTTTGGCTTCAAGAGGATGAATTTATTCTAATGACTCAAGTTCTCTCAAACATTCTTCAATCTCTTTCTTCATCTCCACTAAGAACTTTGAGTGCATCAGTTAAAGCTTTTTCTAAAGGAGTGGATAAATACACTTGTCTTTGCACATCCATGATGACTTCACCAGTGGCATCCATCATAAACAATCTCCTTTGTCTTTTGAGTCTTTCATGTCTTCAAAAAGGTTGAAACACACTTCTTCATCTTGAACACGAACTTTCATTAAGCCATCATCAATTTCTATCAACATACTTGCAGTTTTCATGAAAGGTCGGCCTAAAATCGAAGGTGCATCATCATCCTCTTCAATATCCAACACAATAAAATCATTTGGAAATATAAATTTATCCATCTTGACCAAAACATCTTCAGCTATTCCCGATGGACGGGTGATATATTTATCGGTTAATTAAAGTGTCATCTTTATTAATTTCAATATTACCTAACCTTTGAATCACACAGCGAAATCAAATTTATACTTGAACCCAAATCAACTAGTTCTTTTGCCAATATTTACATTCCTTATAATGACCAAAGTGAAAAATGCTTATATTATTTCCTAAAAAAGAGGTTCAAATATGTATGAGATAAACATAGCTTTAAGGTTAACTTTTTTCTTTAATATAGATAATAAAAAAATATTAGATCAAATTTTAAAAAAAAAATTAAATAATTACATGACACTATGTATATAATAGAGTTATCAAATTATTTACATTACTATTTATAAAATAATCTTTTAGGCATATAATAGAGTATATATTGAAGGCATAGATCGACGAGTAGATGTGAAACATATCTATAGAATAACAATCATAGATTGTTTTTCATAATGAATGTTTTTAGAGATATAAATCGACGGATAGATGTGAAGCATATCTATGTGATAATATTTGTAGATTGTTTATTATAATGAATATCTTTGCAGGTATAAATTGACGGGTAGATACGAAGCGTATCTATGAGATAACAATTATAGATTGTTCGTCGTATTTATCAATGTTGTGTTCAAACAAGTTTTCCATCGCAAATTAGGTTGATTTACATATATGTTTTTGAGATGTTTAACAACATTTCTTCTAGCTTTTACTATGTATTAATCTAAAGTTTAAAATATTATATAACTTGAATCCTTTCTTTGATAATATTTGTAATCAATAACGAAACGCATTATTGTTTTCGCTATAATACATATTTTTTGTATTGTTTGGATCAATGCATATTAGATTGATGTATATAATGATTCTAATTTAATAATTATGTGAATATTAAGTAACTAAATAAATGAATTAAAACTTAACAAACAAGAGGGAACGACGTGTCACATAGATTTTTTACTAGTTTATATTTATAATTGAAGTGATAATTACGGAAAAAAGTAAATACATAAATAACATTAGTAAATTATTCCAAATTTTGATTTTGATTTATTCAAAAATATTTTTTATTTTAAATCCTTAAAATATAAAAAAAAATCTTCTAATTTTTTTTTGGTTTCTGTAAAATTTAATGATGATAAAAACGCTCTCTAAAATTCGTAACATAATTAATTTTAATTTGAACATATTTTATAAAATATAAACACTTTAATATCAAAGTAAAATTTGACATATTTTCAAGAAATTAAAAATAAAATGTTAAAAAATAAATTATAGCAAATATGAAATATATATTTAAATCGCAAAAATAATACACGTGATATTTGTTATGAAAATCAATCAAGTTTATTTCCTCTATAACAATTAAGTCAATGCAACGCCTTGTGAAATGGGTATGGTCCATCGGGTCGATCCACGAGTTCTATATTTTATTATGGGTTGGATTGCAAAAAACTTTTAAAAAAATATAATTATATTTTTTTGGTCCAGTCCATTGGGTCTTGTTTTTCATGGGCTAGGCCTAGTCGATCAAACGGACTTTTGACTGGCTCATTAAAAATATATTTATAAAATAATTTTAATTAATTTTTTTTTTTGAGAAACGGAAATATATTAATCCAAAAACAGTTAATACAAAGCCGATCCAAAGATCCAGGCCCAAGACAACAACATCCAACAAATTAAAAGACTAGATCCCTGCACTCAACCACAATCAAATTTCCTCAAACACATTTCAATTCTATACTTTAACTCCCCCAATTGGAAAAAATCTTTAGTATGATTTTGAAATATAATCATATTCCGGGTAGTCCAAATACTATAGATGGTTTCCGCAACAATCAGTTTAGCTTTCCTACACTTCAAACTTTTGCCTTTAGTATTGCTAATGATATACTCTAATCCCATCACTCCATTGGTCGACCAACGGTACTCCTCATCTCTCTCTAAAACTTGGTACCAAATGTTTCTCGCAAAATCACATTCAAAAAGGACATGTTGAATATCCTCATTCGTTCCACAAAACACACACAAATCATCATTTTGGATATCAAACCTGCACAACCTATCCTTAGTAGGCAATCTACCTAGGAGTGTCATCCAAGTAATGAAAGTGGCCCTAGGACGAACACAATTACCCAGGATGACCTTTTTCCACCTCACTTTGGGTATCACCCCCCTAAGCATCTTGTACATATCTCTTGTATGGTAACCGTCCCTACTCCGGAATTCATCCCAAACCTTCGAGCTCATCAATTCCTCCTTGTGTTTAAATATCGCTTTCACAATCCAAGAGGCATGGGAAGGAGGAATATAATCAATACAATCCGTACCTTTTAATTTTGGATAAAAAAATTGAGTTAAGATATGATTGCGTGAGATATATTTTTAAGATGATGTAATTAAAGAAATGGTTGTGAGATGAAGAGAAAGTTTGTTAAGAATTGCGGATAATATTCAGTTTCTCTCTATTTTTACATAAATATTTTCGTGGCATATATATATATATATATATATATATATATATATATATAGAGAGAGAGAGAGAGAGAGAGAGAGAGTTGATGAATATTTTAAATATTAAGTTTATGATAATTCTCTATTTATGATCAATTACATTTTTTTTATAAATTTAAAATTATAATTTAAAATAAGGGACTGATAGACCCATCTGGCTAATTCATCGGGCCACATGGCCTATTAGAAACTAGATGGTACTCATTTTTAGCAGCGCATGAAATAACTGGGCCGACCCACTTCAAACCCTTTATATGTTTTGGCCCTCTGGGTCAAAGAGGGTTGGACCGACCCGACCCATTTAACATCCAATCTAAATCACACATATAAACAAAAAATGGGAGTAGATGGTGTTTTGCATTGTTGTGATAACTCGATTTTCCCTCTCTACTCTTCTTAAATGACTAATAGCATGTTTGGATTGACTTTTGAAAGACCTAGAATCAATTTTAGAGGTGTAGAATTGATTATGGGTGATTTTAAGGTGTTTGTTTTTATGAAAAATATAATTGATTTTGCCTCTAGAATTGATTCTACTTGAAGTTAGAATTTGTAGTTTCTACCTCCAAGATTAATACTTGATGATTTTTACACTGAAATTTATCGATCAACTTACTTTTTACATAAATATATCCAAATATAAATCAATTATACTAAATTCATTTCTGTTAAAATCAATTCTACCAAACTCAATTTTGCTAGAAATAATTATATTCATTGTCAATCCAAACGTAAGGGTGGAAATAGGTTTTATAAGGTCTGAGTCTGACCTACGATAACTTATAAGACTTGAGTCTGACCTATAACCTATTATAGGCTCATTTTTTGGCATGGTCTGACCTGACTTAAAAGTCTGTTTCTCATTAAAGTTTTCGATAAATTCATATTATTTAAGAAGTCTTAAATGTCAGCCTATATATTTAATATTTTTCATATATATATATATATATATATATATATATATATATATATATATATATATATATATATATATATATATATATATATATATATATATATATATATATATATATATATATATATATAATAATGTATTCATATTATTTTTAATATATAAAAAAATATAGGCAGGTCTATAAGATTTCATAGACTTTTTGAATAGTCTAGACCTAATCTATTTAATTAAATAGACTTTTAAAAAAAAACTTAAATATAATTTTTTTAATAAACAAATCTGTCATAATCTAATCTCAAATAAACTAAGTCATATATCCAGTTGGTGGGTCTGACCTATTCTCAACCCCTATTTAAACATACCATGAGATATATTCAACACAAAATAATAATTTTTGAAGATTAATATAAAAAACAATATATATTTATTGATACTAAATCACATTGAAACATTTAAAATATGAAATATATAAGATATGGCATAAATGAAATTTTATTTATTAATTATTCTTAATTGTTTAAAGCTAATCTAACTAAAAGATCTTCTATAATGTATAATTCATGAAATAAATAAAAAAAAGATTTATGAAACAATCAAAACAAATGAACACATTCAATCAAAGAATTCAAGACGCCATACAAGCTTCCCAAAACCGCCTGTTCTTTTCATTCTCATCCACCGAATCTCCACCTAAATCAAAAGACACACACGATTTCTTCTTTCGAAACCATCGACCATGCACTTCATCTTCATCATCATCTTCAGCACAATATGATTTTCCATAAACAACATCTTTCTCCTCATGTTCATCTAGTCTCTTCTCATTATCATCATCATCACACCATGGCTGATCATGCTGCTCAACATTGTTAACTTCATCAACAGCAGATCCATTGCAAGATAAAGCATCATCATTATCATCATCATATAATGATTTGGCCTTTTCACAATCTATGTTAGGATTAGGATCAGAATCAGCTTCAGAATCACCACTTGCTTCAAAGCGAACATTAGAGAGAAAATCATTAGGATTTTTCCTCTTCCTATCCATGGTCTGGACTTGAGTTTGATGTGTTAGGAGGATGCTACAATATATATATATAAATAACCACTCTTGTTCTAAACAAAAAGGGAATCTGAAAATAATGATAGAAAAGAGAGAAGCAAAATAAACGTGGGGTCAATTGTTTAACACTTTTTGGTGACAGTAACAGACGAATGTTTTTATAGCCTTCTTCTCCTCCAAAATGGACTCAACTTTGTTACATAAAATAAGGGAAAGTATGCGGCTATGGTATGAGTAAGTTGGTGATGTTATCATAATATCTAGAAACTCAACACACGCTCTCTTCTAGATGGTGCAATACTATATTTATAGAAAAACATTTAACGTGAATGGATTCTCCACCTTTATCTTTATCCATATAAATTAAAGTTGTTGGTTACGTCATTTTAATTGATTTGCTTTGGGAAACACATAATCCATAATAATAATAATAATAATAATAATAATAATAATAATAATAATAATAATAATAATAATAATAATAATAATAATAATTTTATATTTGAATTTTTGTCTCATTTATTTTCTTCTTTCTTAAAATTAATTATAAATATTATTTTCAACTTTTTTGAATTTTTTTTAATTAATTAATTAATTCTTATGGTTATTAAGACTATTTTTTATTTATTCTGATTTTAGTTTTTACGATACAATTCTTTATTGTGGTTTTATTTTTTTAATTTTATTCTATATTGTAGTTAAATACATAGAATACTAAGTATAATATTTTTGAATCCTCTTCTTTATTGTGGTTAAATACATTGAATATTAAGTGTAATTCTTAAAGTCGGTCAAAAAAGTTTAATTATTAAAAAATGTTAAAATAACATATACTATATTTAAATAAATAAATCATTAAAAAAATTAAAATTTAACCATATCATAGAAACTCTTTAAAACTTCATCTTTATTTTTATTAAAATAACTAATTTATGTTATCGTATGAATTTTGTCTGAATTTACATTACACCTCGATCAAACTATTATTTACAAAATATAAATTTATTTTTTAATTAATTGATATTAACATAGTTATAAATATAGATTAATAATATGAGACAATTATTTATAAAATATAAATTTATTCTTTATTCTTTGTGAAAGTTATCATCTATCTTATTTTAACTAAAGAGGTGTATTTTACAACCCACTTTAATCAATTTCTTATTTTAAAGTTTACTTAATTCACGTTCATCATCAAGCAGGAGAGCGTGTCAAACAAAAATTTCAATTTGTCAGTTTTGAAATTTGTTTTTCATATTATAGACTTTCATATAATCTCAAATATAAACTATTGATTCATATTTAATTCTTTCAGTTTAAAAATTCTAAAATTTGATAAATAAATATTTTATAATATTATAAATATTTATGAAAAAAATTATTTAAAAAATTTAAAATTTAAAAGTAATTAAACCGTTTTCAAAATTTTAAAAAATAATAGAGTCTAAATCTGCATGAATAAAAATTTTGTAAGGAGCAAAATATATTATTTTTTTAATACTAAAAATAAAATTTGAGATATTTATTGGAAAAAAAAACGTATTTAATCTTTTATAAAAATATTTGACACTTATTTCCATTTATAAATATAGTTGAATCAAAAGTATATTTTTTTCGTTTATAAAAGTATTTATAAATTATTCTTGTTTATAAAATCAATTGTATCAATAATAGATTTTTTACGTTTATAAAATCAATTGAATCAACAATAAATTTTTTTCCGTTTATAAAATCAATTGTATCAACAATAAACTTTTTCTTATTTATAAAAATATTTGTAATTTATTTCCGTTCATAAAATTAATGGTATCAACATTAGACTTTTTTGTTTATAAAAATATTTATAATATATTGTCGTTTATTAAAATATTTATAATTTAATATTTTTTCCGTTAATTAATATTTTTAATGATGATAAATAAATAAAATTAATTGTCATAAAAATAACAAATTTAAACTCACATTATATAACTATAAATTTAATAATATATATTTAAGGATAGTCTTTACCATAAAATTTTAAATAGTTTGAATTTTTAAATATTAGTGAAAATATAATTATAAATTATAACTATAAATTTAATAATATATATTTAAGGATAGTCTTTACCATAAAATTTTAAAGAATAGTTTGAATTTTTAAATATTAGTAAAAATATAATTATTAATTTATATTTTTTCAACAAAAATTTAAATTATTAAACTGATATCTCAATATCAACTCTATATTTAAAAAAAAAAGGTTTCAGCCATGTTTCAAAATAAAATTATTTGACATCATTACGAAGTACCTTTTAAAAAAACACTTTTGAAAAACTAAAAATCAAATAAATAGAAAAATATATTTTTTAATTAAAGCTAAATTGCAATAAAAAATTAGAATTTGAAATAAACCTCAATAAATCTGGGCACAGAACCTTCATAGTGTACCAAAATTGAATTATAAATCTGATCACGTGTGTAACACCCCGTTTTCAATTAATTGATTTATTTGAATTTGGGAATTTATTTTATTAGAATTAATAAAATAAAAAGAATTATTTATTTTGGAGTATTTGAGGAAAATAAAAGAAATAAGGAATGTTGGGATTTTTATGTTATTGGGCTTAGATGTTGTTAGTAAAGAGTGGGGTGCAGAGAAATAAAGTTATGTTTGGGACTTAGGCCATTTTCTCATTTTTGGTTTTCACGTAAGAACAGAAGTTGGAATTTGGGAAAATAGAGCTCTGAAGAACGGAGAACGAAGAACATCGCTCAGGAACTCAAAGCTGCTAATTGATAAGGTAAGGGGGGTTTATACTCGATTTATATTTGTTTATGGGTTTATGTACGGTTGATTCGGGTAATTGTAGGAAAATCCCAATTGTTAGATGTTTCTAGGGATCGATAACCGTAGTACTGAACCTTGTTAGAAAAGGGTTAGGTTCCCAATTTTTGTGAATCGATTAAGAGTTTTAGGTCCCAAATGAGGAATTGGGAGTATATATCTTGATCGTGAATTTACCTTGGAAGTTGTAGGGATAACCTCAGTGTCAGTAGAATTCCCCAAAGGAACGGTTAATCCCCGGTTAAGGTTACTATAATGATTGTTGGTATTTTGGATATGGTGGTGTTGTTGTGAATTGTACAAACCTGATGTCGTTAGGAACCGAATTACGCGTTTAGCGGGCGTTTTCCCGCGTTTGGACTGCTGTTTCTGAGCTGCTGCAGGTTCAGGCAAATCCTGTACGCGCTCAGCAACACGGGCCGTGTTGCACAACACGGGTGGCCGTGTTGCTCTCCTGTGTTGGGAGCTGGTGTGCTCTGGTTGCACGACACGGGCCGTGTTGCACAACACGGGCACCCGTGTCAGATCCCCTGTACTGATAAAAATAAAATGCGCGTTTTTCTGGACGTGCTGCACAACACGGGCCGTGTTGCACAACACGGGCACCCGTGTTGCTCTGCTGTGATGATTTTCTGAATTTTTGGTTTCAGTGTTTTGATGTTGGATTTTTATTGCCATGCTTTTAGATATGTTATCGAGCATGAATTATGATATAATTGATGTGATTGGTTGATGTTTGAATAGTATGCTGAGTGATTACATGCTATTCGTAACTTGATATGATTGATGTTTAAATAGTATGCTGAGTGGTTACATGCTATTCATATCATGTTATGTTTGATATTGTTGATGTGCATGATATGTTGATCGATGTTCATAGTATGCTGAGTGTTACATACTTACATATCATGTTGCATTTGTTAATTCCCATTGTGTGGAATTAACATGGTGGCCAATATACGTGTCCGCGATTTAATGGAACGTTGAGGTGGTAGCCGTGTCCGCGATATAATGGAACGGTGAGTTATCTGTGACCCGCGATTTAATGGGGCGGTGAAGTGGTACCACATGCATGGGTGTGTTGCATTACTCGAATATAACATGAATAGATGATTTTTCCAATGTTATATTTGATTGTTTGTATGCACGTATGATTTGATAAATGGTTGATGATGTTTGATGAATATTTGCAAATATGAAAGGCAATATGTCATGGATATATGAATTGAAAAGGTTTTGTAAACTATGAAATATGCTAATGATTGGGTGATGCTTATGATTTCGTGAATTGATTGTTATGAATGTATAACCAAATGTATATTTGAGAAGCTCACCCTTACTGTTGAATATTTCAGATTGAGGAGCTTCGCTCAGGTGCTTGGCGAAGGCTTATCGTGTCTAGTTTAGTTTCGTTTTAGTATGTCCGGGTCATGCTCTGATAGTTGTAACTCCGGGAACGTTTGGTTGTCGAGCTGCTTTAGTCAGACTCGTTTATTTTCTTTTAATTGTTATAATACGACGTTGACTTTTCCAGGTGTTAATCCCTGATGAATTTGGAAAATATTATAACATTTGATTTTATTAAATAAATTATTCCGCTGTGTAGACATGTATGAGTTACCACTAAAATTATGCATGACAGGGATTTATTTTATTAAAAGAGAATTGTAGCATTCCTCGATTATTACATGTACTCTGAGTTTATAATTTTTAATATTTGCGAAAATTATATGCGGGGTTTAGAGGGTGTTACAATAGTGGTATCAGAGCATAGTCGGTCGTTGTGACCAGAGTCTTGAGTCAGTCATTCCTTTTCGTATGCGACTAGTGCAAGGTAACATTGTCGATACTGTATTCTGATGTGGAGTATGTTTTAATTCTCAGGAATATGGCTGGAAGAGGTAATGGACGAAATGATGCTGCACTAGCTGAGGCTTTGGGGATGTTAGCTGGTGTACTTGCTGGAAACCCAACTGGAGGCGTGATTGGTGCTGATAGGCAATTGGGAAATTTCCAAAGGAACAATCCTCCGTTGTTCAAAGGTACACATGACCCTGAAGGTGCTCAGAAGTGGCTGAAGGAGATCGAAAGGATTTTCCGTGTGATCGATTGTGCTGAAGATCTGAAAGTCAGATATGGTACGCATATGTTGGCA